GACACAATGACATTTAACGCCTGATAAAGATCTAACGTACAGCAACCCAACAAGCTAACTCGTAGCACCTGGCCATGATAGCTTATAGGCATGTAACGATGCATCCTGCAAAAAAAAATTAATGCATTTTTAAGATTTGGGATTGCAATTCCATTCATCAATTATTTTTTCTTGTTTTTATTATCTCATTTGTAGTGTCTCGTTTGTAGAATTGTGTTCACTAGATTAGCCAAAAAGAAAAAAAAACATAAAATGTACATTAAATTTGAATAACTTGTGAGTTATCAATTCTACACACGAAATGTAATGTATGAATTGTGAGTGTAAGATTCGGATTTAACCAAATTTATGCAATGTTACATGCCTAGAATGATGCAGGCAGCACTTATTCCAACATGCCAACCTGTAATTATACCTTGTTAGCATCTGATGCACACAATACCAAGGCCAAAAGAGCAATAAATAACACCTGGTTAAGACCAAAATAAACCATATTCAAGTCCTCATGTTAACAATTACTACAAATCAGGCTAACAAATTCAACATGCCACGGGCATGATGCTCATGACCATATGCTTATCAGCAAAGTCAGTAACCCAGAAGTAAGCTAAGTTGTATCAAGCACTCAAGCTACTGGAGCAGCAAGCAGAGGCAAGGCATGGTTTTAATTAATCTGTCATGGTCACCCAACTCAGTACAGCTTCCCACATCCACCAATCCTTTACAGATGCAAATTAAATTATAAACAAAGTATGCATCTGAAGATTGGTAAACTTGAAAAGTTGACCCAGAAGAGCGGTTACGATGAGCAGTCTGGGCTGCAGCTAAAATGGATCAATGTTAGGCTGTGAGCATTCCGTGAGCTTACCTCTTCCTACTCATCGTTCCGACAAAAAGGGAAGCACACAAAAGGGTAGAGCATTGATCAACATTGTGAGGCTTACACTGCAAAAGTGCTGCAATGTCAAAGCACGTTTTGGACAGTTGTTGGAGTCTGTGGCAGCAGATCTTGAAAGTGTAAGCCACTACCGCTAGCTTCGGACACATTATGAGTTGCTGTTTTTACGTTTCATAATTTGCATTTACAATGTTAATGGGATTAACAGCAAATGAAAGTGAATTAAATAGACACTGAACTTACCGTACACTAGCACTAACCCATGAGCTGTGCCCACTGCGATCACATTGGAGACAGCCTAGGGTATAATGAAAACACACACACAAATATTGTCTGAAGATGCTTCAACAAACTTTTGCGGGAAATGCCTTTAGTGAGCATCTAATAAGACCAGTAAAGTGAAAGAAGAGCTTGCATGTCCATCACTACGCCTGGCACCCTTTGTTATCCGAGTACTGATGTTCAGAGACCACTCCAGGCACTCATTTAAGGTTGAGTCGACCTAGGAGAGACCCAGGATCAATTCAGATATTTGCCACTGATGATAGCTGTGGCTGGAAATCAAACTCAAGTCCCAAGGTGCAGTTGGCACACAAGGCATGCATGGGTACCTTTCCCTCTCTGCTGTTACATCACAACTGGTACTTAATATTTATGGCTGAGTCAGCTTTAAGGAGAGGCTCAAGGCAGTGAGGTCTGTACCATGGAAATGCATGGGACATGGAGAAAACCTGTTTTCATTAAACCACAGTGCAGCATTGCTAAACCAACTCACCGCATTGTTTCAACCATGTTCAAACTTAAAAAGTAATGTCAGAGAAAATATAAACGAGTTCTTCATATAACAAAATGTTCTATTTGGATTTGTTTAATTCAATAATGTAGAAAATGTTCTGTTGGGTATGCAAATGAATAAACATTATACAATCCATTTATATAATTTACATGAATGCACTTAAAGCTTTCGTGATGCAGGAATTCATATTCTTTGTTATTTTTTGATAATTTCTTTGAACCTATCTACGTGACTTTACCGAAAGACCCAAAAAATATATATTTAAATTCGTGACTATTTTAAGCTAAACACCATACATACCATAGCAGTTGGCAGTCCAGCTTCGACTCGGTCCTAAAATAAAACATATAGCACACAATTAATAAAATATAAAAAGTAATAACTATGAAAGAGTAGCTCATGTTAATCTTGGTACTGTTTAAACATTTCATATGATCGGACCTTGTAGTTGTAATGGGCATGTCTTATAAAATGAAAGAATATAACAATTCGCACCTCTTAATACTCAAATTAGAGAAATACTATTGATTTAACAAAATAAGCAGGCATGGGTATGATACAATGAAATAGATAAAATCCAATGGATAAGATTAGTAACGGAATTGTATTGAAAAGAAGGAAATAGTCCAATAAGACAATTACCATGGAGATTGAGCAATGAGATTAGCGCATGAGCAGAAAAAGCGTTTACATTAAATAACCGAGAGAGATGGCAAAGACACGAGGAGCCTTTATTCAGAAGTGAACTGGTCATGACATTTGATAGTAATGGTGACTATTTAACCTACTTAATGTTGTTAGTGGGTGGGAGAGCACAAATCAAGCTAGATTAGCTAACTTCAGTATCGAGGTACAAACAGGCTCAGTATTTATATTAACATAACCCCACCAGCCACTATTACAATAACACTGGACTCACTGCCGCAGATACAATCTGGGAAGACACGCCCTTGAGGATGACATGTTTCAGCACCGAGCCATGGAAAGGTTTCTTCTGCTCTGCCTTCTTTTTTTTCCTGGGGTGAGAAGTGGGCACACAAATACACACGCACATACACAGGATTCCAGTCAAACACAAGCAAGCAGTCACTGGAATACCTGGTTTAACTTTTTACCAATATTGTGAGACCTGAAGGTAATGTTTAAATTTATGATAACATTTCAGATCCTAATAAAATTCTGCAAATGTATATGTTTCATTAAACATTATAAATGAGTGTCAATATAACCAATGGGTTACCAGACTTTTCACAAGTTGCCATATGTATACGATGACCAAGACGTTTTGAACAATAATTTAGTTGGGAAAAGAAATCAAGTTTAAAGTGGAAGCCTAGAAAAGTTGGAGGAAATTGGCCTTGATGTATCTTGCTCCTCCAAAAGCCGATGTTGAGAAAAAAACAATCACTCATGTACAGTCCTGCATCAATTATAAGACCGATAGCATCATCATCTTCACCATCTTCCATGGATCGGCAACCACATACCTCTCTCATTTAATATCAATCTCCTCCACTATGTGCTGTCTGCTCAAGCAAATCAAGCATTCCGTTAAAATCTTCAGTCCATATTGGTTCAATGTGTGATTGGTAGTTACTTCTCTTCCTGCTGCTCATGTACGGAATTCAATTCCTCTGCCTGTTTGCACTGCTGCATCCATTCCCTTGTTTAAATCCTCTACTCATCTTCCTGTGTAAAGCAATTAAGTCATTTAAGAAACGCAAAATCATGCTAATAGCGTCTCTCACGCGCATTACTGTCTCGTCACGCTGTGTAAATTAAATACATTTTAACGTCTTAAGTCGTATCTCGTGTGAAGACACAAGAGATATAACGATCCCTTGTGTGTTCTTCTGCATGTATCGCACAATGTTATTGCAAATCCTCCTCTGGCCCGTCCCATTCTATCATCGATATACTGCCCTCAAAAATACCCCTCTTCAACAAACCCTATATATGTGGCTATCCCTATGTACAACGTCTTGATATGTGGTCACAAGTTAGATTTGATGTATTTAAAAAAAAATATATATTCCACATTGTATAGTACAAGGATGCGCGTGCCTGGAGTAGGGCCGGTCGCCACTGTCTGTGCTGGCCAGTGAGGACGTCTCCACGGAGCAAGCGTCCGAACCGTCGGCCAGGAAGAGCGCTGGGTCATCCAGCTGGAAAGGATTCTCCTCCTCGTCATCCTGCACAACAATGTGGCACTGCCGTACTTAAAGAGCTCCACGTATACCTCAAACATAACAGAACAAAATTCACAAAACGGGCCCACAGGCTGTGTTGATGTGCGCTTTACGACAAACCTCGTTGAGAATGCTTTCCAATGTGGGTGGTGTGTCCACTTGAGGAAGGTCAAACTCTTTGTCATCCAGCTGTATCACAGAGAAAATAGAGCTTGCGCGTGCGGAATTGCAATTCGAGTGCATTAGACCTGCATGAAAATAGGACTGCTCAGATACTTCTATTAACCGATTCCACAGCCTGAATGCTTTCACCTGACAAAAAAAATACATCGTTCAGAGATACAGTCAATGAACCTCACCCGGTTAAATAGGGGACGTCAATCATAAGAGACGATTCATCGCAATGGGCTCTGACAAGGCTAAATAAAGGACGTCGATCACGAGACAATTTACCGCAACGGGCTCTTAACCTGGTTAAACAAAGGACGTCAATGTCTACATATTTAGAACGAACGCAACATCCCTCATTGCGTTTACGAGGCCCCCCCCACCTCCTCAATGTCGTCCGTCAGATCAGCCAAAGACGCACAGCGGCTGGGGCTGGACTCTGCGGAGGACATATCGTGCCTCTTGCTGGTTGTGCTGCTGCTTATGCTGCTGGTGAGTGCTGCTGGTTAGTGATAGTTAAAGCTGCTGGTTTGTGCTGCTGTGGTGCCGTTGTCGTACGCGAGTTCGATATTGACATGGGGATCAACTCCTGACCCCTGACCCCAAGCAGCTGATCGCTGCCTCTTCCTTGAACATTGCCCGGACCGGAAACAGTGGGTTGAAGCGATTTCAAGTTCCGCACCGCGTTCTCCCCCAATGTTTTTTTTGTTCTTCATTAAATCAAAGCAAACGTGTTAGACAAAAAAAAGGGGGGGGGAGTTCAAATGTTGCGTCTGCCCTTGCGACTCACGAAAGGTTACACATTAAAGGAACGAAATGACAGACGACACGGCAACGCGTTGATAAATCGGCGAGCGGAACCATTGCGCCGACCGCGTTTCCCCCACGAGGGGGGATAGTTTAACGGGCAGCGCACGGCGTGAACCAATCGAATTCGTTGATGCGATGTCACGTGACGCGGTTGCCAAGCGACGGCGACGCCGAGTCAAAAGAGTTTTTTTTTTAATTTCGCAGCGAGAATCTTTTACTCTCTTAACAACAACGGCAATAATTATTGTTACTTACAATCATAACAACAGCAATCAAATAGGAAGTAAGTTAACGTCGTGCTGCTGTTGCGGTGATGAATATTGTTTGTGTTGCACGCTTGTTTAATGTCAATCGTCGTCGTTTCACCGCTGGCGAAGTTCATAAACTATTGGCAGACGCGGTTCAGAGGCAATAGCTCACGTCTTGTAATCGCATCAGGTTTCGAGTACATTTAAAACACATGCGCAATTGAAGTTCGCCGTTGCTACTGGGCTGTGTCCAACTTTGTGCACATCTAGAGTTAAATAAAGTAAATTTTGATTTAAAGCTTTCGTGACTGCAGTAATTCATATTCTTAGTTTTTTCGGTAAAGTCACGTTGAAGGGAAACAACAAAATAATAATCGTGAGAATTTAAATAAAGTAGTTTGTCATGCCGTGTTAACCCGTACGCTTTTCGGGTCCATACGGCGTACAGCCGTTTCGATACGGGCAAAAAAATATAATTGTGTCTATTTGTGTTTCTCCCTTGTGATGGGACTTTGTAGAATGAACTATTAAATTTATCTGGGCATGGGGTGGTAACCAATAAGGTCTGAATTGGTCTGTAATAAGGTAGGGCACTGATAAGTGATTGACAGGTATGAGTTTTTATTAAAGTCATAATTTGTTTAAATATTCAATTCTAGATTTAAAGCTTTCGTGACTGCTAGGATCCATACTCTTTGGTTCTATTTGGTAAAGTCACGTAGGTGAAAATAAAATAACAAAAAATCACGACGTTTCGGCCACAACACAAGCGGCCTTCATCAGGTGAAGGGACGAGACTGCCTGGAGGACAGTCTGGAGGACAGTCTCGTCCCCTCACCTGATGATGGCCGCTTGTGTTGTGGCCGAAACGTCGTGATTTTTGGTTATTTTATTTTCACCTACGTGACTTTACCCAATAGAACCAAAGAGTATGTTTAAATATTCAGTTGTATTAAAAATGTCTTCACGTATCCCAGGTCGCCATGTGTCTCTACGAGCCCGTATTTCATCACCTGGTTACATAAATAACAACGTTACTACTTGTAGATACTTAGCCAGGCTGTACATTTGAAGTTGTCATTCATGAGAAAGTAATACTGTAGAGTACTTTAAAGATGCGGTCGAGCGTGTCATTCTGGCGCCCTTAGTTGCAATGCGTCCGTGTAGCGGTGTCAGCTCGGGACGTTCTGTATCTGCAAGAGCTGCTTTTTTGGGGGAGTTGTCTCTTGAACACAATGTTTATTTATTTTTATTTCAATGGTTGTGCATAATTGCTATTTTATAGCGTGTATATAAAACATGACCTCCGTAAATCACACTTACGCGCGTGTATGATACGTTTGTATTTTACAACAGCAACTTGGAATGGCAGCCAAAAAGAAGGAAATACAACTGCAGGTAAAAATAAACATTTTGGCAATTTCTTTGATTAGTTTTGTTGGACCTAATTTTATTTTTAAAAGCCAGTACACAATTTGTATTCTTGTACAATTTTATAAAGTATTTGGATGTTCTGTATGTTAACAGTACAGGATTTATCTTACGAAACAATTAAAAATTTCTCCCGAATGTTCAGTCGACCACAGGGAACCTCACCCTCCTCCGATATAAACATTGTATCTAAATTCGCTAATTCAACTTTAAGAGCAGATTTTAAAAAAAGCTAACCCTTTGCGGATGCCGAGGCCTTTCCGTGTCACAAATCAGTAAATATAAACTCAATGTGTGATTTTGGGCTTCCTCAGGTGCTCATCTCCAACCAGGAACAGTGGGATGAGTTGATGGCATTGAGAGGATTAATAGGTGACAACTCCATGACCTTTCTGCAATCTCATGATTCACACATGCAAACAGGACAATGTATTTTCATATACATTGTATACTACGTCATGAGTTCATTTACAAACATTTCAAAGTACGTCAAGTCCGTACTCCATTTGTCATCAGGTGAACAGTTCTATTAAATACAGTAAGTCCTCGTTTAACGCGGTAGATGCGTTCCTGAATAGGGCCGCGTTAAGCAAAAACAATTTCCCCATATATAACGTAAGGAGAAAGTTTAGCAGGATACTGTGTGCACATACAGTAAGATGCCTGGATAAATAACTGAGGTATCATTCCACATACTGTATCGTATCGCTCAGCCACGCTTCTCAAAAAAGTACATTGTCGACCATTAAAAAACCGCGTGATAATGGGCACGTTATATGCGGACGCGTTCTATGTTGTGCGAAAAGTTATAGCGAAAAGGCGTGTTAACATGCGTTAAGCGAGGACTTGCCATACTATATAATAATTCTGGTATAATCTAAACCAACTTGCACTATATGTATATTGTTCTACGAAAAAAGATGTGTTGTTTTGCACATTGCAGTCCTTTTGAGGTTAAGTCACTTGTTCATCTCTTCTGACTATGCAGTGCTGTTCTGTTTGCCACTGCAGTGACAGACGTGTACCCAGCATGGTGTGGACCCTGCAAAGCTGTGATGAGTCTGTTCCGGAAAATAAAAAATGAGCTGGGAGATGACTTACTGCACTTCGCAGCGGTATGCAGTTGTGTGTGTCCTTGAAATGAAGCTGTTTTAGAAAACATCTCCAAAATATATTCTTAGCTCTTTCGGTAAAGTCACGTTGAAGGGAAACAATAAAATTATATAACATATATTATTATTATTATTTTATTGTTTCCCTTCAACGTGACTTTACCGAAAGAGCTAAGAATATGAATTACTGCAGTCACGAAAGCTTTAAATCAAAATCGCCGAAATATATTTGGAGAACATCATGAACCCCTGCTGATTTTGTACGTTTGCCCACTGACAAAGAAATGATGAGTCTATAATTTTAATGGTAGGTTTATTTGAACAGTGAGAGAAAGAATAACAACAAAATCCAGAAAAACGCATGTCAAAAATGTTATAAATTGATTTGCATTTTAATGAGAGAAATAAGTATTTGACCCCTCTGCAAAACATGACTTAGTACTTGGTGGCAAAACCCTTGTTGGCAATCACAGAGGTCAGATGTTTCTTGTAGTTGGCCACCAAGTTTGCACACATCTCAGGAGGGATTTTGTCCCACTCCTCTTTGCAGATCTTCTCCAAGTCATTAAGGTTTCGAGGCTGACGTTTGGCAACTCGAACCTTCAGCTCCCTCCAAGGATTTTCTATGGGATTAAGGTCTGGAGACTGGCTAGGCCACTCCAGGACCTTAATGTGCTTCTTCTTGAGCCACTCTTTTGTTGCCTTGGCCGTGTGTTTTGGGTCATTGTCATGCTGGAATACTCATCCACGACCCATTTTCAATGCCCTGGCTGAGGGAAGGAGGTTCTCACCCAAGATTTGACGGTACATGGCCCCGTCCATCATCCCTTTGATGCGGTGAAGTTGTCCTGCCCCCTTAGCAGAAAAACACCGCCAAAGCATAATGTTTCCACCTCCATGTTTGACGGTGGGGATGGTGTTCTTGGGGTCATAGGCAGCATTCCTCCTCCTCCAAACACGGCGAGTTGAGTTGATGCCAAAAAGCTCCATTTTGGTCTTATCTGACCACAACACTTTCACCCAGTTGTCCTCTGAATCATTCAGATGTTCATTTGCAAACTTCAGTTGGGCATGTATATGTGCTTTCTTGGTGACTATGGTCCCAGCTGCTTTGAGATCATTGACAAGATCCTCCCATGTAGTTCTGGACTGATTCCTCACCGTTCTCATGATCATTGCAACTCCACGAGGTGAGATCTTGCATGGAGCCCCAGGCCGAGGGAGATTGACAGTTCTTTTGTGTTTCTTCCATTTGCGAATAATCGTACCAACTGTTGTCACCTTCTCACCAAGCTGCTTGGCAATGGTCTTGTAGCCCATTCCAGCCTTGTGTAGGTCTACAATCTTGTCCCCGACATCCTTGGAGAGCTCTTTGGTCTTGGCCATGGTGGAGAGATTGGAATCTGATTGATTGATTGCTTCTGTGGACAGGTGTCTTTTATACAGGTGTAGTGTTCGATTTCACTCGGACAACTTCTGTCTTTCTTCGAACACCGCTTTATTTACAACTCTCAGCATGTCCTCCACATTCTACAGTATCCTGGTCGCCACGGCTCGCTTGTCGTGCTTCACTCGACTCGCTCGCCACCTTTGTCTCTCCACTCCCCACGATTACTTCGCTTGCCCCGCACTCAGCGACTCCGCACTCAGCGACTCCGCACTCAGCGACTCCGCACTCAGCGACTCCGCACCCAGCGACTCCGCACTCACCGACTCCGCACCCAGCGACTCCGCACCCAGCGACTCCGCACCCAGCGACTCCGCACCCAGCGACTCCAGCTCCGCTATCACTACGCTCTCTCCACTACTGGCTATTCTCATCTCCAGCTCCGTTATCGCTATGCTCTCTCCACTGCTAACTACTTCTCTTCTTCAGCTCCGCTATCGTTACGCTCTCCCTACTGCTAGCTACTCTCTACTTCAGCTCTGCTATCGTTACGCTCTCTCTACTGCTAGCTGCTTCTCTTCTTCAGCTTCACTCCACACTCTGTTTCCAAACTCCATCTCCAACTCCGTCTCCAAACTCTGTTTCCAATTCTGTCTCCAAACTCTGTTTCCAATTCTGTCTCCAAACTCTGTTTCCAATTCTGTCTCCAAACTCCGTCCCCCACTCTGTCTCCAAACTCTCCTCCAAACTCCATGTCTTGCCTCGTCCAGCTCCCAACTCCAACTCCCGCTCCAATTGCGGACCCCCCAATTTATCCCCGCTCTCATTACGCACAAATTAATTAGTCCGCGTCCCAACGGCACCCCACGTGATCCGTACACCTGCTTCTCGCCAGACTTCAAGACGCCTCTCCAGCCCTGGCAACAGCCCCAACCAATCACTGCCGTCCTTGGCTCTCCCAGCTTAATTGCCCCAACGTAACCTGCACTGTATTTGCCTTCGTTGCAGGCTGACCCAACATAACCCCAATGACTTTGCCTTCACAACAGGCTGACCCAACATAACCCGCACTGTCTCTGTTTCCATGCAATACGCACCTTTCTACTCCACTACACAGGTAACAAGTTGAGATTAGGAGCACTCCCTTTAAGAGTGTGCTCCTAATCTCAGCTCGTTACCTGTATAAAAGACACCTGGGAGCCAGAAATCTTTCTGATTGAGAGGGGGTCAAATACTTATTTCCCTCATTAAAATGCAAATCAATTTATAACATTTTTGACATGCGTTTTGCTGGATTTTTGTTGTTGTTATTCTGTCTCTCACTTCAAATAAACCTACCATTAAAATGATAGACTGATCATTTCTTTGTCAATGGGCAAACGTACAAAATCAGCAGGGGATCAAATACTTTTTTCCCTCACTGTATCATGTTATGATTTAAGTGGCATCCGATTTACAGGCAGAAGCTGACAGTGTGGAGGCATTCGACAAGTACAGGGGGAAATGTGAGCCAACCTTCCTCTTTCATGCTGTAAGTTATTTTATGGATTGAGTCATACTTCATCATTAGACCTCCTTTGCCAGTACCAAAGTATAATAATAGGGTTTTTCCCCTTTTTTCTGGCAACAAAACTGAAACCTTTTTTTACAAGGATTCATGTCTGCATTAACCACAATACCTGCAGTCAAATTGCAAACAAAAAACATACTATGATAATGTATGCATTGACCTTGAAACTGATTGGTCCACATCAAGGGACGGGACGGCTTTCTTTTGAGCCTCGACCCAATTGGTGCTCGACCATGACGCCAAAAGGCGTGAGTCATACTTGTTTTTAATTTGTGTTTAATAGTTAAAAAGTATAACATTTCCAGTATATATAAATATCATACAACCATATATTCCAAAACACATTTGAATTTGGATGCTTCGAATTTTCAGCTCAGAGATACATTTTCACACCCATTTGACCCATGTATCACGTAGGGCGGGGAGCTCGTGGATGTAGTGCGTGGCGCCAATGCTCCCGTTCTACAGCGGAAAATCCTGGCACAGCTGCAGGCTGAAAAGCGAGTTCTGGAGGAAGGAGGCGAGCGCCTGGTGGTGAGCAGTAGCTGAGATTTGTCCCATGTTCCTGTTACACTTAAAGGAGTAGCGTTGTAGGTTTGTAAACGAGTGGAATGTGTTCCCACTTGACAATATGGCTAAAGTTCCATAAACTTTCTCAACTAATTTTTGTATTAAAGCAGGACTGATAATTACCAAACGAGCCCTCGAGAGGTAATGGATTGCTCTCATTTGCTCAGGTTTACGGACGGTTCCATAGAGATGCCATGGCCCAGTTGCAGTTACATTCCAGGACAGAATTAGTAATGTATACTCAAGAGAACAGAGCTTGAGTAAAACAGATGAATAATCAAACTTAAATAAATAAAATGTGTTCGGAGTGTACAATGACAATCAAAAGCATAGCTGCTGTTATCATTTACAGTCTTAGAAACATATATCAGAATAATCTTTGAGGTGATGCCTTCTTGAGAGCAGAGTACAGCCATATTGACTGATAGTTGGAAACTACACTATAGTTGGACATGAAGTGAATATCCTATTTCCATCTTTATAATTACTGTCAGATCACAGATAAATATGAATCAATTGCGCATATACGTTTAAGTGAGAGTTGTATAAATTAATGGGCAATTTGGGTTGCAGGTGCAAGACACTGCCCTGCAGAGCATGGAGGACAATGACTGGGATATAAAGACCTCTCGGGGACAGCAAGATCAAGAAGAGGAAGAAGGGGAAGAGGGTGAGGGTGCATATTTACACAAGAAGTGCAAAACACTCTTTAAAAATGAATTGGCCAAGATACATTGCAGAAGTCTCATGAAAAATATGACTATTTTTATTTTACAAGGTAAGGCCCACTGAGTTATACAGTAAAACCTTGGATTGCGAGCATAATTCGTTCCGAAAGCGTGTTTGTAATCCAAAGCACTCGTATATGAAAGCACTCGTATATCAGTTGTGATCACGTGACACTAGGCAGACAAAGCGTATACGCGCTACTCGTATTGCAAGACCTCGCTCGTTTATCAAATTCATATTTATTTTAAAATTTTGCTCATCTTGCAAAACACTCGCAGACCAAGTTACTCGCAATCCAAGGTTTTACTGTAAAGCTCTTTTTCAGAAACGACCTTGCCACAAATGATAGCTCAACGAAGTGGCCCATAATGTGGAAATGTATCGCAGCCATATACTTTAAATGCATGTTTCTAAATGTGGAGGGAAAATGATCACTCAGCGAGGTGGCTTATCACGTGTAAATTTGTAGCAGCCAAATACTCTAAACGCATGTTTCTTAATTGGAGGGAATAACTGGAGGACCCGGAGAAAAATCCACACGACCACGAAGAGAACATGCAAACTCCAAATATCCAGCCGCCAGGGTCGGTATTGAACCGACGATCTCCTGTATACCAGGCGAGGTAGTTAACATCTCGCCACCGTGAGGCTTCCCAGTTAAATAAATGTGCATTTATTTTACAGTTAATCCAAATCCAGTTGAACAAATTGCAGTAAATGTACATGGTACATTTTTTCAGGCAATCATCTTTCCATTTTTTGTTAGAGACAAATTACTTCACTGGCAATTCTCATTGATTTTAAACCTAAGATATGTTTGCTTAGCATTATTTTGAATTCTTCAATTAAAATTGATTTATATGAGATTGGATCTAAGCAGCAGGCTACGTGTGGATGTGGTCGCATTGTTCCAGGGCACTGAGTATGTTGTTGATGCTCATTCCTGTTTGCAGCTCTCACGAGCCACCCATACACTGTGGCCCTCATCAAGCCAGACGTGGTCGCTAAGGGGAAAGTGGAGGAAATCATCATGAAGGTAACGATGCATGTGCCAATCTTAGAGGATTTCACTCTTAAAGCAGCCAATGTGAGCCTCTGAGACACTCAAAATATTAACATTGAATTCATGTCCATTGTTTCCCGCATTGACATAGATGCTGTGTGGGTTCCTTTTGCTCCCTTAATCATTGCTCAATCTCAGAACCACTTACAAATGCAGATGACATGCACACCTAGCCTGACTACCAAATTAACAGTTGATGGGGAAATGTGGTGTTACTTAATTCACACCATCAGGGATATCTCCTGATTTCTGTGAAAATACATGTTTTAAAGTTTCATCAATATTGCATAAACATATATATAAAATACAACTAATGTTTAATTTCTTTCGGTAAAGTCACGTAGTTAGAAATAAAATAAAACATCACGACGTTTCGATTGCAACACAAGCAATCTTCATCAGGTGGTAAAACAATACCCTGGAGTCAATACAATACCTCTGCCGTGGCTGACCATTGTTATAACGCTTTGGGCTCGCATGATATTGTTTTTTCCGAGACCAAGGCACTCTGCAAACCTTCGGGCTACTATCAAAGGTTTGTTCATGAAGGCATCCAGATATATAAACATAGACATAACTTCAACCGAGAAGATGGATACGAATTGAGCAATCATTGGAAGGATGTTATTAACCAGGTAAAACCTTAACTGTTTATGGTTGTTTCCATCATATATGACGGGTACTAGTCTTCTGTATTTTTCCGAGTTAATTTCCCCCCGCATCCCCAGCTTTCCCAGCCTCCCACTTCCAGCCCCGCCCATTTCCCCCCAGCCTCATGTCCTCTCTTCCCCTAGCGCTCACACAGCGCTCCCCTCCCCCTACCCCCCCTCTCTCTCTCCCCCCTTGCTCCTCCCCCCTTCTTACCTATATAACCTATTGCCACGGCAGCTCTCTCTCCCACTTCAGCAAAAAAACATTCTTGTTGTGGTTTTACCACCTGATGAAGATTGCTTGTGTTGCAATCGAAACGTTGTTTCGATAACTACGTGACTTTACCGAAAGAACCAAAGAGTATGGATTCCTGCAGTCACGAAAGCTTCAAATCAAGATTAATGTTAAATTTTTTAAACGTGTTGTGGACAATAACCTGGAGTGATTGACTGGGTTTTTTCCAAAGAGCCTGTCTTCATGGTTTCTGTGTTTCCAATGTTGGCTGTGATGATGCTTTATATGGCAATGTCTGGGATAGGTGCAAGAAGCTGGGTTTGAGATTGTGGCTCATGAAGAGAGGACACTGCTGCCCGAGGAAGCACGTGACTTCTACCAGCATCGCTCAGGAGAGGTATCCCATGCATACACCCTTGGACACACAATATACACATAATTGCATTGTGAAGAAGGTCGGCACATTGTTGGGGATGCTAATACTATTTCAGAGTGCTGAACTGGCTATGCTCATAATCTGGGTTTGAATCCAGACAGTTACCCTCAACTAAAACAGGTTATTGTCCTCACCATGTAGAAACTGTCAAGTTCTTTCAAAATGAAACAATGAATTCCTCAAAACAAATTAAACAGGTTATCATGCCTTGTGATTTAATTATTTTAGTATGGTCACCAATAACATGCACAACCAATAAATAAGTGTGTGGAGTTTTCACTTAATTATGCATATTCCAGCTCTGAGGACAAAAAAATCACTCTTTACAGGACAATCACTCTTTACAGGACATATTAAAGGTTTGCCCATAGTTTTGATTTAAAGCTTTCGTGACTGCAGGGATTCATATTCTTGGTTCTTTCGGTAAAGTCACGTAGAAGGGAAACAATAAAATAATATTTTTATAATAATATTTTTATTATTTTATTGTTTCCCTTCTACGTGCCTTTACCAAAAGAACTAAGATTATGTTTGCCCATAGTGTTTAAAAAAGTATTGAATTCATGTGACTTAAGAAGTCATTAAGTAACATAATATTCTGCAGCTGTACTCTGGCACAGGGCGGTGAACTTCTCACTGTGATAATTGAATAAAAATGTGTTATGGCAACACCATGATTGGAATATAAATTGGGAGAAAACTATTTTTAAACTGCATGTTTCTTTGCACAATCTGCACGTTTGTTTTACCATATGTCTGCTGTGAATGAAGGAGTGGTATTGCCCAAAGTGTTTGCTTAACATATGTTTGACTCTGTTGTGTTGGCAGCCCAACTTTGCAGAGCTGGTGCAATTCATGTCCAGTGGCCCGTGCCACGTGTTGATGCTGTCTCGGCCCGACGGGGCCACTGACGTCATTCCCGCATGGAGAGAGCTCATCGGCCCCACGGACCTGGAGGTGGCAAAGGCTGAGAAACCAGATTGGTGGGGAACCCACATTCATCACAGACTAGGGAATCCAGCCCTTAAAGGCTTGGTCACAGTCAAGCAGCATTCACTCTTCATTTGGAAACTGTCTAACACCTCTTACATGCACATTTTGATTGTTCTACTTGTAATGATGCACTGTGTCTCAAGCTACTCTTGTCTGTTGAATAAAGCACTTAAAATATAATGGTAAAACTTCATCTCAAAGGCACTTCAAAATATATTGTACTTTTTCAAGCACAATCCAATGTTTCTTTAAGAGCGTATGTTTAAATTTTGATTTAAAGCTTTCGTGACTGCAGGGATTCATATTCTTGATTCTTTCGGTAAAGTCACGTAGAAGGGAAACAATAAAATAATAAAAATATAAAACAATAATGATGATTGCTTGTGCTGCAGTCGAAACGTCGTGAGAATTTTATTGTTTTATATTTTTTATATTTGATTGTTTCCCTTCTACGTGACTTTACCGAAAGAACCAAGAATAAGCGTACATTTACTTTAAGTGTGAATTTGGTTTTGTAAGCTCTAAAAATATTTCATAATAATTGTCAGATATATCTGTTTAGTGTGCTTATAATATATATATCGGTACAGTAGGTCAACCTTGCCCAGAGCATGATCATGTCTTAAAATGTCAAATATTTTTCCCAGAAAAGCCTCAGCAAGTCTTAAGACTCTTTATCAATAGGCTTCTGGCTCTGATTTTTCACCAATTAAATTGAATGGTGTTTTGAATGTGGGAAGAAACTAAATTATCCAGTGAAGCTCATGTATACTTTTTCATTATTATTTCTTAAAAAGTTTCACTTGGAAAATCCCTTGAGATACATCTCATTTACCAGGGTGTTAAGGCTGTACATACGGGGGGATAACACAAAAAGTTTCGTACCGAAAGGTTCACAACCCACGTTTGTTTCCTGCTACCTCTTGATTACCTCAGCTGAGTAGGTTTAGACGTTTCACAAGTCTGCAAGATCTACCAATCCTTGCCTTCATATGTCACTACCCATGCAAATGACAAAATTTGAATCAGCAAAGAGAAACCAAATGGAAGATGCTGCTTATTGTCTTTTGCTGACCCAGCTTGCGGGCGCAGTACGGCACGGACACCACGCTCAACGCGTTGCACGGCAGCAGCAGCCAGGAACAGGCGAGCCGCGAGCTGGCCTTCTTCTTCCCAAATCTCCGAGGCGCTTTGGGCGAGCGGGCAGAGCCTGAAGATGGACGGTGCTCATGGGTGGACAGGGCAGCCCCAGGAACACCACGTGGTGACAGCCGCCAGGGCAGCAGGGTGGAGAGGACTCTCGCACTCATCCGCCCAGACCTGCTTAAGGAGAAGAAAGGTAACTGTGGCGTATTAATTCATTGAGAAGCAGGGCGTTGAGAAAGAAAGGCAAAATGTAGAGGTTTCAAATTTGAAACTTCATTGTGAATAATCTGTGAGGATTTTTTTTATTAGAAGAGGACTATTGTCATTGGGACTACAGGTGACCCGTGACAGTAATAGAAGTATGGCAGTGGTTTGTTTAGATTTGAGGTATCCGCAGCCTTGGTTAATTAAAATTACTTTATTTGGGTGTGATTGCATTGTTCACACACGTGGCAATTGTTTGGTTTAGGTCATTTAAATACAGTATTTAAATTGTGCATCGCATTGGTAAGTAACAGAAAACTCTGCATGCTGAGTAACATGGTACACGAATGTTAAATGTAAAAGAGGAAAGACATTGCTTTTTTTAGGTTGGATGAACTAATCTTTTTTTTAAAGAAAAAACTGCTCCACAAGAGGGAATTTGAAAGATAATGCCTTAAATATTGCAGCTGAATGCAAAATCTGAAGTACATTAATTGTATGTTTCTGCATACCCTGTCCTTCCAAACAATGATGCTCTTAATTTTTATCTCAGAAGTTTTTGCACATCCCTATCAAAGGATAGAGACCAGGCAGCAAATGAGTTCAAACAGAGCGAGCCCAGCAGCAACAGCACTCCTGTTTTTAATACCATGGCAGACACAGTGTTGGGAGCGATCAAAGAAGCTGGTTTCCACATCGCAATGCAGAAGGAGGTGATACTGACTGAGGAGCAGGCGAGAGAATTTTACCGAGAGCACGAGGGGCAGGACTACTTCGGCACACTCGTCAAACACATGACCAGGTGACCTAACCCTCTTTATTCCGCTGGAAATCAACTCACCGCAGCTGTAATGATTAAAGCAATGCATTGTCGTTAAAACGTGGTGCCTTGGTCCAGTAAGATTAATTGTGTCGTTTTACCTCTGTACAAAACTTCCTGACTGCGTACCAAACCTTCGACTGCATTTGTCTTTGTGTCAGCGGGCCAGTGCTAGCTCTGGCCCTCGCAAGGAAGGATGCTGTACAGGGCTGGAGGGACATGTTGGGGCCCAAGGACTTGCAGGTGGCCAAGGAAGCAGCTCCCCAGAGGTCGGTGTCCAGAATATGGATCACGGCTGAATTACTCAGGATATGCCTAAGAACAAATCTCTCACTATGCACCTTAACTCATCCGATCTCAGTAATTAAGCAGGAATAAGCCTAGATAGCTCTTGGATGGGTGATCACCATGCATAATTCGGGTGTTTTGGGCTACTTCAGGGCAATATTGGCAGTAGAGGGCAGTGCAGCAAATCCATTGTTTTCTTGTACAATGCTCCTTCGCCAACCTGCACAGATTAGTGTCGTTAAATATGGTCAATTAACTCACGTGGCATACGCAGCATGGGAAGGTCTTTATGGAGCAGTAAATTGATATGTTCTCAATCCAAAAATCAGCCTAGATACAAAATATTAGATGATCTGAAAAATTTTCGTAATATTTCATATAAAAATGTGACTTAACAGCATGTTAATGTAATATTATTTCAATTATAATAAAAAAAGTAAAACAATCTACAAATATCACAATTTAATGGTTACAAAAATAAGATTTCATGTCAAACAATAACGATTTAAAAAAAAAAAGAATTCTGGCTGCCATGTGGGCAGGCAGGTACGCATTGGAAACGTCACTGTGTACATCTGCATTAAGATGTCACCCGAATCCCACAGCATTGAGCCGGGTTCGTGTGCTGACATCATGTCTACCCCCCACCACCAACCCTCCATCCCGGCAGTATATCCTGCAAGTGTGCGGGCAGTGATATTTTTGTATACTTTTATCTGAATGTCCCACAAAATTAGAATTGGTCTTAAAAAACAGAAAATCGGAAATTTAAATCTGAAACTCATCCCTGGCATTATACCTCACTGCCTATTTAGACTTACTGTGTCAAAACAGCAATAGCAGTGGTGTAAGAATTGTGGGGTAAAATAACCACTGAGAGTAAACTATACATCTTTGTTGCAGTACACGGAGCAGTGAGTGAATTCTGCTATTGTAGTCCCATTGCAATAGGGAACCCCATCATGGTACCTGTTTATGCACCTGCATTGCAGCCTCCGTGCACAGTTCGTCTCAGACGCCGCTCCCATCAACCAGCTGCATGGCAGTGCGTCGCCCACCGAGGCGAAGAAGGAGCTGGATTTCTTCTTCCCCAAACAGCAAACGCTGGCCGTCATCAAGCCGGATGTGTTGCCACAGCACAAGGGTAATTAATGTGAATCGCAACACGCAACCATGACATTAACGCGCTTTGAAAAGTGTGCGTTTGGATTTAATTAGGCTTGTGATGGTCAAAGTTCTGCATTTAAAAGGCCCTTGGAAGGTCAAAGTATACACCATCATTTGTTTTACTTCACGACATCACAGCGATATTACGGTCACCATTCACAATTCAATGAATGCACAGGATATAGCGTTGTTTTTTCATTACTTTATTCTACATTTTTGCACGCACTCATCTCATGCACTGAGTAAATGTGTTATATTTATTGTGTTGACATTAGCGTGCACAACATACATTCATGTCATATGTGCACAACATACATTCATGTCATATGTGCACGCGATACATGGATATCCATCTGCGGAACCTCCGTCAGTGACCATGCGCTCGACTGATTTTTCACAGAGGAGATCATGAGCACGATACGCGACGCTGGCTTCACTGTGTCCATGATGCGCGAGGTGGAGCTGTCGCAAGAGTTGGCCTCCGAGTTTTACCACGAGCACCGAGACAAGGCTTTCTTCCCCCAGCTCGTTGATCTTATGTCACGGTAGGGAGGCCTTTTGTTGATTTGAACTGCAAGTGATACATGATACAAAGACATGCTTTTTGTCAGTGAAATCTATAAATTAAAGGAAGTTGCAACCCCAAATAAAATAGCTCCCATGTTGTATATACATACATAGGCTGTGTATTACAGCATGTCTAACAATAATTTGTGGCTTCATTCATAGTCAGGTACTCTTTAGTGATTGCACTGTTGGGTCACTCCCATTGTACTCACCACACAGAACTGTAGCAACACGACTGCACTTTATGATAGTTGGCACCAAACTGTGCCACACACCCTCCCACATGGCCTTGTGGGAGCCTTGGTATCGAGAAAGTTTGTTTATTTTAGTTTTTCTTCTGGTTCCGTTCCAATGACATACATGTATGTCATTGGAGTGGAATCGGAAGAAAAAAATACGACATAGACGTACGTCATCATAACGGGAAAGGGTTCATTTCCTTCCCATAAAAAAAGTTAGTGCGACAGGTCAGCAGGTTTTGGTCAGTGAAATGGATACACCTTACATGTATGGCTTCAAAATAGGGGGCCTTCCCTGATGCTGGTGCTCAACCGTGAGGATGCCGTGGAGGAATGGAGGCGACTCATGGGGCCAGCCGACCCGGACGTGGCACGCAAGACGGCACCCGAGTCTCTGCGCGCACGCTTTGCTCGCAGCTTGCTAGAGAACGCACTGCATGGTGCCTCCAACCTGCACCATGCCCAAGAGAACATCCACTTACTGTTCGGTGACATCAGCTTCTCCCCAGATGGCACTGTTCTAGGTAAGGATATAATGATTTATTGATTAATCGATTGACATTGATCTATGCACTCGTAGTGCCATCGCGGGTGTCACTGTGTGGTGCCGGCCCTAGAGAGGCACGGCATGCGATGTACTCACATTGCGGGCATCACGTATGTAGCGACATCGTGAATGCCACTGAGTAATGCCGGCTCTAGCGAGGTACGGCGAGCGCTGGGATAGCGCTCAGTGGCACCACGCGTGGCGTGCATTGCTGACTCCTACAGGAGGGAGTGTGAGAGTGTCACCCATGTGATGAGGTTACCCGAGGCCATGGCAATCTGGCCGACCCTGGGAGGCACGTGACCAGTAAGATCTACACAGGGGCCCCAGGTGGGGGGGCCTGGGGGTGGTCACATGTCAGGGTAAGATCCTACAGGAAGGGTCGAGAAACGACAAGTTTCTCGAAGGTGGTCGTGGCCAAGGGCGGGGCCAGCCACGACCCAGCAGTATACAAAGCAGGATCCGCACAGGGACCGGGGTTCAGTGTTGCTGCCGTCATCTGAAGATCTACGTTCTAGAAGAAGTCACCTACACGTGGACGAGGACCCCAGCGAGGGTCCTATCCGTTGTAGCGACTCCCAGTAACTAACGTAGTTAGCCTGGTGGTCCACCACCATAGGTTATCTGGTAAAGGGGCAGTAACCCCTTTGTGTTAATGTGTTGGTATTAATAAATGTGTTGCCTCCAATGAGTACGTCTGCGACTAAGGTGAATCCACTACACACTGAATAGAATCGTGCATATAGGAATCAATTGTTTGACTCATATTTTCATACCACTGATTTCTACATGCACAATGGAAAATAAAATGTTCATGACTCACATTTTGTTATCTAGTTGTGACAATTTGTCAATTAATAAAGTGCATTGTTACATAACTTATACTTGGTGCTCGTATTGGACATATTTTGTTCCAACTGCTCAAAATTAAGACAAAACTAATGAAAATGTATATATAGGTTTAAAATAATTTAATATTTAATCCTTTTATCAGGAGGGTCCAGGTTGCGAGGTTTGGCCATAATCTCCTTCGGCATATTTGCATCTGGGTGAAAAATAGATCACCTGGAAAAATACTATTAATGTAAGAGAATAATATTCAAATTCAGCACAGATAGGTTCATAAATACATGTTGTAGTGCCTGATATAGGCTTCTCATTGTTCAACGAGTAGTTATCCCAAAGCATCGTATAACCCACTAAAGCTGTCTGCCTATTTTATGGATTGCAGCCCTGTCACAGCAGTGATCTGGCGTACAGGCAGTCCCCGAGATACGATTGTCCGACTTACGAACGTCCACACTTATGAACGACCCTTTACTTAACACCCTGTGCCACATATGCTTTTGTAGGAATGGAACCGGACCTGGATAAAGTGGAGCCGCCAGAATACAGAGACGATACAGAGGAGGACAGCACAGAGAAGCAAGATGGCGAGAGAGCCATTGAGAAGGATGCAGTAGACGGACACACACATGATAATGCTGAGGACATAACACAAGAGGAAAATAAGGTGTATGGAGAAAACGAAAGGGAGGAGGCTCTAAAGAAGGATGGAGAAGAGAAGGAAAGGGCTATTTCAAGGGAAGGTAATGAGAGCATTCGCAGTGGAGATGATAGTGGCAGGGATGGGGAATCAGAGTTAAAGAGAGTGGGCACAGGCAACAGAAAAGATGATAAAGATATGAATGCTGAAGAGGGCAGAGTGGGTGATGCAGATGGTGACGAAGACAAGAATGAAGAGCAAAAGCAACCGCACACAGGTTTAAAAAACACTTAACACCTTTGCCATTTTACAAAGTTATAAAACTCCTTGATGTTATGAGTAAAATGCAGCACTTAACCATCTGCTGTTAAACATAGGTTAAGTGTTATAGTTAATAAATTGGCTCGACTCTAGTAAATATGTTTGGTAACCTATATAAACTAGTCTTGTCACAGTATGGTACAGTAGCCACAATATGCTAGATTTAAAGCAATTTTACGCATCTCTTGTATTCCACCAATTTTTCTGAAAAGACCGATTCCTGAACGTGGAGATATTAACTTGTGTGAACATGCCAAGCATTCAAGTGATCCTTGTCATCAGACATTTGAGATGTGGAGGTTCCCATAGGAAACGCCATTGAGGGCAGTGTCTTCAGATTAAATGATTTGCTTATCTGTTGTCGGCATATCCGCCTTGACTGCTCCGTCATCTAACAGCTACTGGTATTTTTGAGCAAATGGGAGGAAATAGCTTGTGATCACTTTCAGTGAAGTTCAATCTAAGATGTACGTGCCATATTAACCAAAAAACAGAAGCATGGGTGTCACCGAGAAAATGTATATAAATTCAACTCAATAGAAATGTTTATGGTCTGGTCTTGAAAGCACAGATTGTTACAGCTGACCAGACTGCAGTTGGCAGATTGCTGGAGACCACTGGGGCTCTAAATGCAAAGTTCTTTTGTGGTCCCAAGCCAAATGGATTTCACAGATTGCAAATGCCAAAATAGTACTGTAGACTGTAGATCCCTCATACAAATGTTGGGCCAGCAATGCAAAACAAAATCCTGCCTCATTTCTGTAAAAATCAATGCTCTAAATGGTGCAACAATATACTGTATTTCTTATCTTTAACAGGACTTTGGACACTTTCTCCATAAATGGAACATTGAGTCCAGTTTGTGATTGTGGTGCGACATCTCAGACCATCCAACATATTGAACGACTGCCCAATGAGATCTGGAACAAATCCACGTGGCTATTCCTGTAACAGTTGAATTATATCAAATCTCGACATCAATTTGTAGATAGAATGGGGTCTAAAATATAGGACGAGGGATGCTTGTGTTCAATGTTTCATGCATGCTGAAATCGACTCTCAAAGTAAACTTCCCTCCTGGTATCGTCATTGCAGAGTCCTCAGCAGAGCCACCCACAGGCAATGGAGAGGAGCCAGAAACGGCATCCCAGGGTGGACCATAGGAAGGCTTCAAAGCACAGGTAAAGTATACAAATCAGAAAGAAATATTACACAAATGTTAATTTCTCAAATAAAAACACTCTATTTTTTTTTCTTCCAGAAAACAAATGGGTGACGTGGCTTGAAAATGATCTCACTTTAACTGCTCGTGTTTTTTGTGCTTGAACCTGGATGCAAGTAAACAATAATGCGGTCTTTTTCACCCATTTTCTGAATTTCTTTTGAAACCCCATCATACGATGCTAAAATGTGAATTGCATAATTTCCAACATGTGTTTAAAGTTGCTATTTATAGACTGGTTTGCATGTTAGAACTATGTATAAGTAGCACTGACTTTTGAGATGAACTGTCATTAAACTATGACCAAGCCAAATGGATTTCACACAGGTCTCAAATGTTGTTTTTAAGTTTGTTGTCCTTCCCCCTGCACCTCTGATTAGCACGGTTGGCTACGTAGGATGTGAAAGAAGTTCAACATACATAAGATACATATGGACAAATGCACACTTGATTTATGCAACATGCAAAACATATCTTGGCAGGTGGATAGTAAGTGATAGTAAAATCTACACACATACACCAGATTTGTCACCAGACACGTTTATTATTATTTCAGTTACCAATAGAAAACAAACCAATTTTAGACTGAACCTTTAAAGCACTAATCCAATTACAATACTTTTAGCATTTCAAAAGTCAAAACCACAAACTGAACATCACGTGCCATCAAAAAGTTAACACATTCTTGTTAAATGACAAAAACCAAGAAAAGTTAACCAGCAAAGAAATAATTCATCTGAATCCTAACATTAATTAGGCATGGTCTTGCATACAAGTGATGCAATCATGAAATAGCCTAAGGCTTATAGCCATAACATTCTTAACTACAATGAAAGATGCAAGATATGCGCTTTTTATGAAGTCTGCAATGGGTGTCAATTAAACGCATTAATCCAATAAATTCATAGAACTTTATAAATTTGCTTAAGGCATCCCTACATCATGTAGGTCATGTTTGACCATACTTCACCAAGCTGGTCAGTGCTAGTTAGTGTATGGCCCTCGATAACAGCAAAAAAATACAATAAGTCAAAAAAATACAGATCATTTTCTCTTCAGAATGGATCTTTGCCAAAATTTAGAAAAAGATGAGACATCTTATCTTTTCTCCAAACGTCCTTTCAATTCTCCTGCATGTCGACATTGTTTTAAAATGTTAAGCAGAGGGCATGGTCATTTGTGTTCACTGTAGTTAACCTGTGTATAGACACCGACAGGCAGGAAACTGTTGATGGTTACAACTGGCACGGGGGGAAGGGGGGAGTCACAGCAGTGGGTGCCCACCGACACCGGTCTACTTCCAGAGCTTCTTGATGGACATGTTCTTTTCGCTGTCCTTCTGCATGACCTGTAATACAAAAACACTTGAGTTAATGCAGTGCTGGCAGCAGCTGTAAACTTACTCATGACTATAAGACAAGCCTTTGAGCTTTATGCACACTAGTGAAATTTGACTTCTTTACCAACAAAAAATGCATCAACATTAGAAAATGTTCATACAGTGTAATATATAAAATGGTTATGCACTCATTCGTAACAAAAATGGCGGTATGGACAAGAACTAAAAAGCTCATGAACTTAAAACTAAACGACTTAAACAGGTAAGAGCTTTTGACTTAAAACTTTCGTGACTGCAGGAAATTCATATTGAATATTTTAAAATAATTTAAAAAACTAATGTAGACTGTAGCCTGGTTCTTAACCTCGGTGAGCGTATTGGCAGTCGAACGAAGACTGTAGCCTGGTTCTTAACCTCGGTGGGCGTATTGGCAGTCGAACGAAGACTGTAGCCTGGTTCTTAACCTCGGTGACTGTACTGGCAGTCTAAAATGTAGACTGTAGCCTGCTTTTTAAGCTGGTGAGCATATTGGCAGTCTATGATGTAGACTGTAGCAATGGTTATTAAAATGAAGGAGCGTACTGTACTGGCAGTCTATAATGTAGACTTATTCTTGGTTCTTTCAGTAATAAAATTAAAATAAAAACCACGACGTTTCGATCGCAACACAAGCAGTCGTCATCAGGAAAATAAATATGCTCACCAGCTTAAAAAACAGGCTACAGTTTACATTATAGACTGCAGGACACTCACCAAGGTTAAGAATCAGGCTACATAATACATTATAGACTGCCAGTACGCTCACTCTGATTAAGAACCAGGCTAGTCTACATTCGTGTTTTTTTTTTCACTTTATTTTTATTTTTCTACTATCTACGTGACTTTACTGAAAGAACCAAAGAATAGGTAAGAGCTTTATGGCTCTTTTTCAGAAGCGACCTGGCCACAAATGACAGCTCAACAAAGTGGCTTGTGGAAATTTATAACAGCCAAATACTCTAAACAAATGTTTCTAAATGTGGAGATAAAAACTGGAGGACCCCGTGAATAATCCACCCGACCATGGAGAACATGCAAACTCCAAATACACAGACATCAGGGTTGGGATCGAACCCACGGCCTGTATACCAGGTGAGGTAGTGAACATCTCCGTGGTGGCGAGAATCACGTGGTAGGTACGTAGGTGCTCAGAAACAGACTAGACAGACCAATTGATTTATAATTCGAATGTGAATGAAAGCAGGATTCCAGAGCAGCAAGACATCAAGCTTTACCTTGGCGACGGCCATCTCAAAGTCTTCCTGCGTGACGTGCACGCGGCGCTCCCTCAGTGCATACATCCCCGCCTCCGTACACACACCCTTCACACGAAAGCACGCAAAAAATAAACTTCCATACAAACGTTTGAATTCCACCATCAACCGATGTTGCAGGGCATTGCCACAGTGCTCTTGGCTTTAATTTGAATTATAGATTAAGAAAATTATATAGAGTACAAAGCAATGTGGATTTAAACAGAAGCTATATATCTGACAGTATCTGAAAACACAACCAAGGTAGGGAATATGGATATTGGATGTACATGGGAAAAACTATTTATTGGAGGCTACAAGGCAAAGGGAGGTAATATATGGTGATTGATTGCACTTCCTCGGGAGAAAACCAAGGTCTTTAGCCTAGATTTTAACAGAAAAGGGTTGTCATTGTCAATGGTTATGAAAAGGAAATTCTAGACAATGGGTATAACCTTTGAAAAAGAACCCCCCATTTTATACAAGTTGATTTGTGATTTCAACAGGAGGCCTTAAATGCTGCAGTTAAGATCAAGTACAAAGCAGTAGGACATTAAGTGATGAAAAGGTGGGCGAATCCACATGGAGGATCTTGGAGACAGCCAAAACACCTGTCGTTGAACCGAGATTGTATAGGGAGCCAGTGGAAGGATCTGAAATATTGTGGTGACGTAGTCTCGTTAATGTCAGCATGTATATGCAAGTGGATACTTACTTTGACCTCGGCACCAGAAGCTCCAGGCATGAGCTCTGCGATTTTGCGCAGGTTAATGCCGCGTGTCAGGTTCATCTTGCGGGAGTGAATCTTGAGGATGTCAAGACGGGCCTGGTGGAGTCAAAGGACAAAAGGCCATTCACACATTAGTGGCAGCCCACACCTCGGAGCTAAATGTATTTCATGATTTTTTACAGTAAAACTTCTCAAAGTCAGAATGACAAAAACACTTGGCAAACATAAAATAAAAACATTACATCTGGAACACTGCTGTTGCACTAATAAAGCTGTCTGTGGAAGAGCATGGAATTCTGCTGTCATTCTGCTATCATTCTGCACAAGGCACCCACGGGAATGGGTTTACCAATTGTATAAACCAGTCTACCACATGGTTTGGGAGTGGTGTTTTTCATGCTGTAAGTTATGGACAATACCTTTCTAAGAAGAATTTGAAATGTATGCTTAATTAAAACATTTATTATCACGGCCATTAAACCTCAGCTTTATATTAAACTGTAGTAATTATGAAGTGTTATTAAACTGTAAATATTTAGACAATAGTAAAGTTGTGTGACTTATATACAAGTGTTTAATTAAACAATGTAAACTTAGTGTTAATTCACTGTACGAAATTATTTGGAGTATGCTAGCAAACTAATCACCAGACAGGCTCGCCTTCAAATGATACAGATTTTACTATTTTTTGTTAACGTGGCATAATACATTAAGCAAGTATAGTGAACAAAGTAATAACATTCTCACGCGCTGTCTACCCAGATAAACATATAGGTTAAAATACTTTTTGCTATTTAATTTTAAATGCCTTTTCTTTTACATTGTTCCTTTACCTCCTCGTTGGGTGGAGGGAACTCAATCTTGCGATCAATGCGTCCAGGCCGCAGCAGTGCTGGGTCAAGGATGTCGATCCGGTTTGTTGCCATGATCACCTTAGGGAAAAAGAAAAACGCTTTTTTTGAAGACATTCCCGCTTCATTTTCTTTCCTGTACAATCGACTGCTGTTTCTAGATTATTGGCAGGCACTCCATGAAGTTCACTTGCTTAGTCATTAAAAATACAATGCCTTTTAAAGCTCTTGGGATTAGCTCATGTTACACAGCAGTGCTGATGCAAATTGATTAGCTGCTGGTCAAGTCAAAGGGTTTTTTTTCCCCTCTTAAAGTCGCCCTAAAATAAAATGCGCTGCTCCATTAAAACGTTCATGGCTGAATGCTTTTCTTTGTACAAGAGATTATTAGCAGTCACTGTTCAGGGTCTGCAAATGATTTAGTATGTTGGCATGATACAAACATGTCAATTGAATACGATTGTTTTATTATTGTGAAAGCCAATTCTCAGATATATGGAATGGTCACACTGCTGGAGCCACTTCTAAGACTCACACCTTGATGTTCTTGGTGGCCTCGAACCCATCCAGCTGGTTGAGCAGCTCAAGCATGGTGCGCTGCACCTCACTGTCACCCCCTGAGCCACCCTCCAAACGGGAGGAGCCGATGGAGTCGATCTCATCCATGAAGATGATGGAGGGTGCATGCTCGCGTGCCATCACAAACAGCTCGCGTACCATTCGGGACCCTGGCCAATGTACAGGCACACGATGCCGGTTGTGGGAAGGCAGGTACATGGGAATATAGCACAACAGGCGCTTGGTGGGACAACACCACGAGGGACCGTAAGAAATAATGATGTAGAGGCAGAGAAAATGGATATTTAACCCCCAAAAAAATATATACCTGTATTCACCAACATGCACATAGAAATGTTTAGCAACACTAGGAAAGTGTCATGAGAGAGCACTTAAAATACTAACAGCATGCTACAATAGACAATTATATATTTTACCTGCACAATCAATTCATCTTGATTTTTTTGAAATGGCACAGAGTACCCATTTTAGGCTGAATTGACTTGGGGTGTACCCAAGGCAGTTTTTGATTCCACTTGCTAGCAGTGTTCAACATGGCCATGAACTGAAACCAGACCACCGGGATCAAAACTTAGGATCCAAACTATTATGCAATCACTCTCCATACATGGATATAAACACCTAGACCAAGTGGTCTTGAGGTTTGTTTACATATATATAAAAGTCAAAAATTGTCTGTTTGTGGGTTTGTGTGTGGCTTTGTGTGTGCTCGCGTGCTTGCGAAGGATTTGGCTCTCCAACGGTGGGGTTTACGTTAAATAAAAATAGCCAGGTACCACGCCGTAAGCCCTGCCGTGAACAAAAACTATTACTTTTTCACGTCAACTTGAAATTAGTTTAATTAGCGATTTAGTGCGATTTTTGTGTGCCATCTCTCTATTTATTTATGATGCACGACCATACCAACTCACGCGCCTTTGGTGGGGGGGGGGACGGCCCATGCCAAGTCACACGCCTTCGGTGGGAGTGAGGGGGACATTTTCTTTCGCGTTAATAATGCTAGAATACACTAAACGCTGAGCTTAAATCTTCACTGTGATGTCCCCCCCACCCTGATGCGTGCAGTTACTACTATACAGTCTGTAGATGCTACCACTGTAGGCCGTAGATATTACTGCAGAGCGGCCGGGGAGATCATGGCGGGGGGGGGTGGTCGGGGTTGGTCAGGGGTAGCAGCTAGCCCGCCAAATTGCCACCTCGGCTGGCTGGACAATCTAGGTGAGGCCGGAGGCTCTGCACGGGACTAGGCCTCACCACACCACTGTCAGGTGAGTACTTTGTGCTATAGAGTCGATAAATACTGCTATAGAATCAGCATTGTACTACTGTAGTGATAGCAGGTACCACTGTCGGTATATGCACTGCTGTAATCATAGCAGGTACAACCAGTCGGTATATGCACTGCTGTAATCATAGCAGGTACCACCACAGTCAGTATGCACTGCTGTTAAGATTTTTAAGAGTAGGTTTGAAATATTTTTTTGACCCGGGCAACGCCGGGTACTTCCCGCTAGTAGTGAGATCTGTTTGCACCACAATACAGCGAGTGTCACTCCCACAAGATGACCAAACAGCGGTCATGCGTTTATCTACCTTCTCCAATGAACTTCTGCACGAGCTCAGAGCCCGACACACGGATGAAGGTGCACTCTGTGTGGTGTGCCACGGCACGCGCCAGCAGAGTCTTCCCTGTGCCTGGCGGTCCATACAGCAGCACGCCCTGCGCAGATGCACAAGCGAGTTATTTGTTGTTCAGGTGCTTGTGTTCAACAAATATGTAAATACAATGGCCGACCTTTCTTATCTGGGTATTATCAGCCATTCGTAATTAAATAAAGGACACAAGACGATTGTAGGTCTCACCTTTGGCTGTGCGATGCCGAGTGCCTCAAAGAGCTCTGGGTGCTTGACAGGCAGCTCGATCACCTCCTTGATCTCCTTGATCTGCTTGTCGAGGCCGCCTATCATCTCGTAGGTTGAGTCGGGAACCTTCTCCACCATCATGAGAGATACCAGTGGGTCCACCTTGTTGGGAAGGATCTTATGGAGCGTGTAGCTGTCATTGCGCAGTGCCACACGGCAATTTGGCGTCACCTGAACAAAAGAGAATCCCAAAGGACTTCATCATGCAGGCCTAAAGGACTGAAGTAAAATGTTCTTGTCGGTGACAAATATGCAATGCTTCATACATTTGGGGAGAAACAGCTTCTGAAATGTTTTTTATCCCCTTCACAAAAATATACGACAAAGACTTGCAACAATGATTGATCATTATTTTTGTTACTTACATCGTTGATGTCTATGTTCTTGTCAATGTCCACAACAAACTTGCCTTCTGGATGAACCTGATGGGAGTTGTGAATACAAAAATTGAGGAATAAGCTTTGAAATATTTAAATAAAATATTAAATGTTATCATTTAAAAACCATGCCCAACTGATTACTGCACCATTACCTTGACAAGAACTTTCTTCTTGTCCATGGGCTTCACCACCTCCCCAACATACGAGCCCTGCTCTTGAAGCAGCTGCAATTCCTCACGCAGCATGCGTACTGGGGTAACGGGCAGAGAGAAGAGTGGGGAGGTCACCAATAAAAAAAAGTTGGAGAAAGGTCGTTGCATCAATACTGTACACAACATCGACAAGCTCAAATATAGTAAACGATACTCCATTTCACAAATGTCATAAGATTTTGACTTTAAAGCTTTCGTAACTGCAGGAATTCATATTCTTTGGGTCTTTCGCTAAAGCCACGAAGATAGAAAAAATAATAACAATATCACGACGTTTTGATCGCAACACAAGCAATCGTCTTCAGGTGTGTTGCGATCGAAACGTCGTGATATTAGTTATTATTTGGATTATTTTGCTATCTACGTGGCTTTGCTGAAAGACCCAAAGAATGTGCAATAAGATTATTGAAAACTTCTATATAACCTTATAATACACCTAGGTTTCGCTGTCTAAAGGACACTACAGTTGACATGTATATTTTTTCAGATTCTAGAATAAGCAAGGTGCCATTTTTGTAAATGTGACAGATCAACCATACCATTAATGAACACAAGTGAACCACAGAAATAGCATACAAGCACACACTACTGCTCAATGAATAAATTTAAAGCATATATATTTCATTAACTTGATTCGTATAAAAACAGTCGTGAACTAAACGGACCTTTAGCGTTGAGCTCATTTCGCTGAGCCTGCAGTCGTCTCAGGTTCTGGCTCTTCTCATTCACAACCAACTGCAGATAAAGACGGCGCAAAATAATCAACCAAAACATGTAATTGAGTGATGGCACTTTAAAAACATTTCACACTGGTGTGAATTGCACAAGCAAAATGTAAATCTCCAGCTTTACCTGTAGCTCCTCTATCTTGGTCTGGTAATACTGACGAAGGCCATCACCCCCTTTGACATCATCTGTTTCCATCTGAAATAAACATCACGTCAGTAAGCCTCCAGTTTGTATCTTGACGAATGTGCAATGGTCACGTGCTGTTTTTACATGTGGTTGTATTTAAAACATCAACGGTCAGTATCCCTGCTCCAATGAAGCCTGTATGTGCATGAACTACTTGGGTAATACTTGTCTCTGAATGCAGCTCAGAGCTCGGTGGTGGATATTCTACATTCCAAAACAAATGCCTTCCCTCAAATTTATACTCGTGTTGAGCTCAAAGGGTGAGCACAAATTAAACTGCACCATCACTCTGAAGCAGCCAAATCAAAGTGTCTCCCCTATTCACACCAAGCAACATTCATCTCCACTGGGGTTACTTAGGGAAAAAGTAAAACTACAGGGATATCAACACCATAAATGTAAACTAAGGACACCACCTCCCTATATC